TACCTACCTACTGTATTTCTCTCTATCCCTCTACCTACCTACCTACCCTCTCTCTACCTACCTACCTACTGTATTTCTCTCTATCCCTCTACCTACCTACCTACCTACTATCTCTCTCTCCCTACCTATCTACTGTATTTCTTTCTCTCTATCCCTCTATCTACCTACCTGTTCTGACCCCCTCCTCCGTCCAGTAACAAAAGCCGAGACAAGCGTAAAATGGAATGTCGGTGGCTGAAAGCCAAATAAACAAACAGATAAGGACCTTGGCAGCAAGTCCGACACCTTGGCAGCAATTCAGATTTTTCTCTTTGGTGTTATATTTTAAAACAATTGTCACAGTAAAGCTTGTATATTATTCTTCATAGGCAAAATGTGTCTGGAAGCATCCTCCAGGAGATGAAATCTACCGCAAAGGCCCAATCTCAGTATTTGAAGTAGATGGGAAAAAGAACAAGGTAACTCTATGTATATGGAGTAGTTTTCTGGGAGGAAGAGAGTTTGTGCCTTTTGTGGGCCATTTGTAAGCCATACAGTGGCTTTGCTAGAAATTTTTCTTCACTGTTGCTAATTAGCCAGAATTATGTAAGACATTTAAACTGGTTTAGCATCCTAAATGTGGTGTCATCCCAGTATGTTGGCTGCTACTTCCATCTTTCTTATTCAGTATTGGTTTTGCTGTTTGGGTGAAGAAGTCCAAAAAGATTGCAAGTTGTGATGTGGCCCAGGACAGACTTCTTTGTGCTACTGCTTTCTCAACTCTTTTATAAAGAGTACATCATTCCAAAAAGTTTTGTTTTCAGAGTGTGGGTTCAAAGAAGTGTAATTTAGGGAAAGAAGGAAGGAACTCTTTCAAGTTATATGGAGAAGATGGAGATAAAGAAACATACCACAGTATTTCAATTTTGCCAATGTCCTGGATGTGTGTTTCAGTATTTTTTAGATTCCTGCTCAGACAGCCCTTTTCCCCGACTAGTTTGGAAACACTTCCCTCATAGACAATTTCAGTGGCTTTTTTGTAGTTGTATGGGCTCCAGGTCATCCCTCCCAACTACAGTCTTCTTATCAAGAAATCTCCCTGTCCTCTGTTGTAAAAACCTTGTGGCCATTCCTTAAAGGTTAGATTTATTGATGGCATAGTATGAGATGGCAGAGCCATGACATGAGAAAATAGGTCCTAGCTTTGGACTGTAAGTGAAGGAATTATTGTTTTTGAGTGCTTCCCTATGCAAATATTGCAAATGTTGCAATACTGCAATATTTGGGGCAAATTCTGTATTGAACTGTCTCAGTAGTAAAAGGATTGGTCAAAGATGTGTCTGTCGGATGAACCCTAACTCTTAATTGGTGAAGTAATCAAAAACTCTTTTCCTACCTGGGTGAAACGATCAAATCTATTCACTCATCTTCACAATCTCTCACTCCACTCTGCTGTCCATAAAGGTTTGGAGCAAAATTAAATAGGTAAATAAGATGATGACAGTCTTAGATTGTACCAATTTGTTGCAGAATTCATGTCAAGTTCTTGTTTACTGTTTCCAAGCTAAAAAGGTACTTCAGAGCATTTGGGGACACTCACATAACATCTATGCAAATCCTTAAATCACCTACATCTTTTTCCAGGGCCATGCAGCTGCTCTCTGTAGTTACAGGTAGTCCTCAAGATATGACTGGTCACTTAACAGCTGTTCACAGTTACAACAGACCCCCCCCCCCCCCCC